CACGACATCCAAAGCCTTGGCCAAGTTTCCAGGAACGGAGGGCAGATGGCCGTCCATTAACAGATAGAGCTGGGTGTCATCAGCCTACTGATGACAACCCAGCCCATAACTCCAGACTAAGTGGGCAAGGGGGCACATGTAGATGTTAAACAACATTGGCGAGAGGATCGCCCCCTGCGGCACTCCACATTCTGGTGGTTATTGCAGGGAGACCCTCTTGCCCAGTGCCACCCTCTGTCCCCAACCATGGAGAAAGGAGGAAAACCATTTCAAGGCAGTCCCCTGAACTCCTATGTCGCCGAGGTAGTGGGTCAAGATATCATAATCAACTGTGTCAAATGCTGTCCCCTTAAGTCTAACAACAACAGCAGCGCTGACCCACCTCAGTCCAGTTGTCTATGTCATCTGTAAGGGCGACCAGAGCTGTCTCCGTCCCATGGCCAGGGTGGAAGCCAGACTAGAAGGAGTCCTCAATTGCAAAATTCACCTTGAACTGATTTATAATAGCAGACTTTCATGGACTCTAGCCCAATTCATCAGATGAAATTAAACCTATTATGCACAATATGTTTGTGAGGGTTCTGCTAGTATAACAGAGTGGTAGAAGCAATTTTGTTTGATTCCTCCTCTTTACTGTAGCTGCACATCGTTGACAGTGGGAGGAACTAGCCCATTTAAAGTAGTAGCACTCCTATGACGTTTTATCTTTATTTATTTAATACATTTATACCCCACCTTTCTCTCCAACGGGGACCTAAAGTGGCTTACATCCTCCTCCTCTCCTCCATTTTATCCTCACAACAACCCTGTGAGGCAGGTTAGGCTGAGAGAATAGGACTGGCCCAAGGTCACCTAGGGAGTTTCCATGGCATGAATGGGGATTCAAACCTGGGTCTTTCAGATACTAATCCAACACTTTTGACTGCTATACAGCACTGACTTTGTATATGGCAATTTATCAATGAGGTTCTCTGGAACCCCAAGCATCAGTTGTTCTGGGGTAAAGGGAGCTGCTGGTGGAAGAGAAAAGCCACATGAGTGTTCCTTAATTATCATATGGCATTGTGTATAGTATAGCTAGGAGATCCTAAGATTGTCTGGCAGTCAGAAGTTCTAGCTCATTTAGCATTATGCACCACTAGCTGGCAAGCTAGAGCTGTTTTTTTAAGGCAAGAGATGTTTCAGAGGTGGTTTGCCATTGCCTGCCTTTTGTCATGACCCTGGTATTCCTTGGCGGTCGCCAGAGGTCATTTCGGGGGGGATCGCGGGGGATCGCAGTTCCCCCGGGTGAGGTACGGGGGCGGGGCACATGATGAAGCCCCGCCCCCTGCTTCCGGCCGCCCCGCTTCCGGCCCTCATTCAGCCAGGAGGAGGCAGAAGAGGGAGGGTAAGTTGCTTCCTCCCTGCCTCTCCCCACCCTTTATCTGTGTTAATGCTGTAAATCGCCCAGAGCCTGCTTGCGGGGTTGGGCGATTCAGAAATCTAATAAATAAATAAATCATCATCATCCCTGAGAGATCTGTTAAAGATTGCTTTAAAATGCATTCACACACACACACACAAATTGATAAAAGTGCTGCTGAACACACACACCCGCATCAAATTGTGTAGTAAATGAAGCCACCATAATTTATTTGGACCGCCAATAGGAGTTCTGGATACATTCTACAATGTAAAACTAGCACGGAAGAGAAGAGCCTAAACTGTGATCCATCTTCCTGATGTGTAGGTTTTTCACAGGCCGAGGGGGGTCTTTTGATGTAGGGGGAAATTTAGATATGCAACCCCCCCAGCTGCAGCTAAGAAGCACTGTATGGCTTAGGAAGAACTATACCATATGTAGCTTGGCTCAGTCTCTGCTGTTCAGCACCAAACTGCCAAGAAACATTCTGGTTTCTAATTCTTCAGGAGGTACCATGCACATGTAGCCATTTTACAATAATCCAGTCTAGATATTACAGAGGGGTGAATCAATATAGCCCGGTCAGCAGAGAACTGCACATGAAGTTCCTCTTGCAGAACAGATCTTCCTGACTCCATCTTTTGCAGCCTCCCACCATCAGCTGAACAGTTGTTCGTAAGGATTGGGGACCCTGAGGTACAATGTGGGATGCCTCTGAAGGGAGAAAAATCTACAGAAACTGCACCCACTTTTTGCTTACGGAGGGGCTGCTTTGAGTTCAATTGATAGCATAATGCACAACCTCACATAATTTCATATCAAATATATAACCATCAGTGAAACTAACTTGGATCGCAAAATATCGAGAAACCCCTTTGTTGTCAACTTTACCACTCTTCAAGTGTCTATCAGCTGGAACCTTTGTCAACAGACAGTAATCTGACAGATGGAAAACCCCAATCAGTGATGAATCCATAAAATTTATTGCACCAATGCCACAAAGAAATTGACACAAATGATACTGTTCATTAAGAACTCCAAGTAAGAGGTTTCCATCGGTACTCATTCAAACACACACTACTCACCATTCCTCTCTGAAAACATGCTGCAGTGTAACACACACATCTTCCCTGGTCTAGTTTACATGTCACTTCCTCTAATCCAGGTAATATGGTCCATTGACACAGCTTGTGAAACAATTACAACACTGTAAAATGCAGCTTCTCTAAAGGAGTGGACAACTCATTCCACCACAGTAGCTATCAGTTGGTTGGGAAACTGAAAGATTTGGTGAAAAGGGGGGGGGGAGGCCTTCTAGAATGATGCTCAGTATTTCATATCAATCTTTATCAATGCTAGACAGCAAGCTATTATCTTTTGATTGCATTAAAATATTGTACAGTATAAAAGTTCATTTACCTAAACAATCAGCCACCAGTATCCTTTTTCCCTTTCTGCCTCTGTTTATGAGTATTAAAACCATTTTGGAAAAACCACACTCATGTTTTAAGTCGCAAACCATGGTCCATGGAAATCTGCCTCCACTTAAAAATACTGTTAAAATGCCAGGGAAACGAACAATAAAAGTCTTTGGAATCATGAAGATTTAAGACAAGCTTTCCTCTCACTGTCAGTTTAAATGTTTCTTGTGTACATTCAACACCATTTTAAAACTATTTAATAATACCAAAACCTACACTATGTCACTAAAGATAGCCATGGCAGTCACTGGTACAGCTTTTTTGCTCTGTCAGTGCTACAGCACAAAGATGAAGAAGATTCAACAGGTACACAAACTTGAAGTAGCCCCCTACTGGCAGGTTATCCTGTCAACTGAGGTAGTATTTTTGGCGGGAAGGAGGTTTTATTTTTCTTAAATATAGGATAAAAGCTACTTGGTGATCCAATCCTAATTTAGGGTGATCTCTCAGTGAGTCTGGAAGAACAATCTGTATTAAGAATTTATTCTGAGGTAAGGAAACATTTACAGGAAAGATGTGCCTTCACAAAATGTGTACAAGGTAATAAATTAAAGACTGCAAAATTATTTCATTCCTTGACCTCAATATGAGAAACAGCAGGTATTTAAAAGCCAGTGTGGAGCCTTCCTGCAAAAATGGAGCCTTCTTCAGTTTAGAACAATAACGTCTGAGTGAAATTGATTTTTGAAGCTAATTTATGACAAGAAGAATTGCAGGGCATGGAGGGGAAACAATGCTGCTATGGATACATACCGGCATCTGTAACAGTGATGCCTGAATCTGGGTCTGTATGATTAAGTATTGTCACAAAAATAAGCCAAGAATGAAAGAGGAAGGAGATAAAAAACTGTGACAAGCCTTGAACAAAAAAAGGTGTTACATTAGCAAACTGGTATTCAGAAGACATGGCATCAAACTGCTGGCACCACTTCATTGTGGTTGTGTGTAACTTCCATGTAACATTTTCATTCTCAGACACAGATTGCATTGGGACAACTGCACAACTTTAACACACTGCTGATTGGGGCCTTTTTCATAAGAGGCTTTGCTCTTCTTTATTCTAGTAATTTGCATCCTTGACGTTAAAAGGCTGGCATTTATACTGAACCGCCTGGAAATAAAAACCTATGCTTGAAATACAAGACTGATGCAGTTGCACCGCTGTCCGGAAAACAAGGTGGATATGATTAATTTCTAATTTGATTCTGAAAGAGAAAGTTCTGATTAAGACATACAAGACTGAAGGCACTGAAAGGCGAGTGCAAAACATTCTGTGGGATCGCTTTGAATACTTAGTCATAATAAACTGCTGCTGCCACCGTTTCTATGACCACCCCCAATACCCTTGGCTGGGGTTTTGTCTGTACATTCCATTTATTCACTTAACAAGCTGTTCCTGCTTCAAGTGCAGCTAAAGAGTGATCACTTATTCATAGGGCAATGAAGCAGTTATGCTTTAAAATAAATCTGCCAGGATTTATGCTGCGTTGGTCATATTGGTTCTTCTGTTTCAAATGCATTTTTTCAGTTGCTTATACAAGATAAAAGTAGGATGCTCAACCTACATTTTAATAACATCAGGAAACTGAGATTCAAGATGTTGCATTTGCATCAGAGCAAGTCGGCCACAGAAATTATGCCAGGCTCCACAAGTATCCCCCACTTTCAAAAGGCCATTTTCATCCAAAGTGATGCAGGATTGTTTACATCCAAAATGTCCTTTTCTAGTAACACCATCCAATGCAGCTTCGGTTCTATCGCTTCTTTTGTCTGTTTTATGAACTAGCCAACTGCATGACGAATTAGTTACTCCAAATGCTGAATCACTTGTCCCAAGGAAGGCCAGTAGTATAACACAAAAGCACATGCATGCGTACATGCTCCAAATCATCATGTCCCGTCCAAACAGAGCATAGGAATGCTTAGGCATACAACTGCTTACAGCTTCCCATTTGAAAAATTCAAAAGAACAAGACACTGACAAGTGCAATAATAGGAAAACCATACTTGGATAGTTCTGTTGGTAGTTCTGTTTCAGTAGTGTTTAATCCTTTTGTCCATTAAAATACAAAGATGCATTCTTGATTAGCTTACTCCACAAAGAATATAAAAACCCTGAATGTCTTTTACATTATGTAAACTGAAATCCCACTGATAAGCATCCTGACAAAATGCAGAAACGGATAAGCGACATAATGCAGTGCCGCCCTCCATTTGCCACCTCTTCATGCTTGGCATCTGTACCATGCCCCGAGTCCTTTCATTTTGCTGGGGGGAACTTTTCCTCCAAGATGACAGCTTAGAGGAGTATTTGTGCAACATATGGAGAATGAGTACTTGCTATAGCTGCCAGCAGAGGCAAGTCATTGGATTCAATCCTAGAAAGAAAAATTACAAAGAGAATTTTCAATATACAGATAACAGGAGAGCTTTGAAAATATCCGCCTGGGAGGATTTCTGCTACAGCAAGGTAGAGGAGGTCTGTGATGAAACACAATTTCCAGAGACAGCACAGAAACAGAATTGATATGAGGACCTCTGAAGCTATATATGACTTAATTGCTCCTTGACAATTCTACTTCCTCTTCCTATGTACATGCGTGATTAAACAGAAGGAAATGCATTGATGTATTATGTGATTTCACCACACCCTCCATGATCTCTTCCTGTTTGGAATGACCAGAGTCAAGCCAAATAACTTAAAACGGCATCACAATGTTCCCATTGACCATTCACCCCCCATTCTGTTGGGCTTATTCTTTACCCCTCACTTTGTAACCATTCCCACCTGTCTTGCCAAACTCTGAAAGATCTAGCCAATGCTTAAGAACTGTTCGCAGAAAGAATTATATGAGCCTTAGTTGGAAACTGTGTGCAAGAAAACAGGAGGCAATACTGGTCAGGAGAAAAGACAGGAGCAGCCCAGTTCACAACTGAATTTTAATCCTGAAATACAAAGGCTAACTAGCTTGTTGTGGAAAGGTATAGTCCTGGTACAAGGAACAGCCTAAAGAGATGTCCTTATCAAGCACTGTCAAGTCTATGACTATTTTCTAAGCATTTCAAACCAATTAAGATTTCATTGGACACATTTATTTGGTTGTCTTTCCTTAGTTTTCTCAAACAAAATAACCCTCAGTAGCTTCAGCTTCCAACTTGATGAATTTTATTTTCAAAGCTTCCCAGCCTTAAGGTCCCTCCGGGACATGCCTCCTTCCCGTCTCAAAGCCTCTTCCTTGGTCTTCTCCTGGACTTTCCCCCACATATCTCACAGCCTGGGGGAAAATGAAATGTCTACTCCCATTCCTCTCTGGCCCATATAACAAAAGTTGCTTCTCTGCTTTCCAAACCCTGCTCAGTCCTGGATTGTGTTTCCATACCCTTAGGGTCTAAGCTCACTTGCTGTCCCCCAGTCTTCTTACATGTACTTTCCTCTCTAGATTTTCCTCAGATTATTGA